TTATCATTTCTAATTGAGTACCTAATAATAAATTAATAATGAATAATTTCAATCAATGCAGTTAATCACTAATAAAATCAACTTTTTATTAAATATAGCATATAACTGGCTGTTGATTTTAATGCAGTAACTAACATTTACTAATGAGACTTTGTTGTAAAGTGTTAGCTATTGTACTGTATTATCATTTTGCAATTAATTGGTTCATTTATTATAGCTTATAGTTATTTTTTTAACTGAATAAATAAATATACATTCAATTATATTTTTGGTTTATGCCTGTTAAAGCAAAACGTTTGCAGTTTAGGTCAATGTCAAGATGATCTGAAGCTTTTCAGGACTACACAGATGGACTATAAACACTGCACACACACATCATGGCTGAGTCTTGTTCACTTTTAACCTGTATCATCGCAACGTGTTTTCCCTTGCTGTATCGTGTTTCCTGATCCTCAATTTGTTTATTGCTTCTTGTTGTTAGCCGCCTGGACCAATCTCTTTGCCTGTGTACCGACTACTCTTTTTTTTTTTAATCGCTCTTTATGTACCTGTTTGCACCTGTGATTGACCATTGCCTGTCTGACTATTCTCTGTTTGGTAAATACGGCATGTGGAACTCCTTTGCCAGCATCTGACTGGTACAATACAGTATATTGTGAAAAAGGTTTCAGCAATTAATTGCAAAAAAAAAAAGAGATAAAGGAATCTGACAGCAGCAGAAGTCGTCCGACTAATGGACTTGTTGCTCAAGAATAAATGGACTTTTGGACATCAGATGCATCTCTTGCAGTATATATATTTTTTTTCAATCCAGTCATTCCTGGCTAGTTTGTGCTTAGCCTCAGATACATGTGTCCACATGCACAAGCGAAGGGCCATTAAATTACAGCTTATATTCTGGATGAATGTACCTTGTGTCCTTGCTATTTTCCAGCTGTCTCTGTATATCCTGACAGACCGACACGCTCAGCCTAATGCACAGCAGTGGTAATGGCTGTGTGAATTGCATAGAGAGCCATGGAAGAATCAGAGCATGGAAAACCTCCCTAAAAACCCTGATAGCAGCTCTCTGAACCCGGCTGTTTATCTGACCGTCTCAGAAATTCACTGAGGAAACGCACACATATACAAGACATCCCCAAACAGACAAGGTTATTCAGATAAGAGTGAATTACTGCCCACGGGGGCCGAAAGCAAGAGAAAGATGGCATGGTGAACTCATCCCGCGACTATTCAGAGCTCAATTTAAACTTTTTAGACTATTGCAAAGAACTCCCAGGATGCTTTGCTGCTCTAGAGAACTCTATCTCTGAGCTGTCACATTGCTAATCAGCAGAAGAGGTGGAAAACACTGGCCAAACTGCCCATAGATTCAATCTCGGCACAAACATGTTGCTTTCTCTGTGAGGATGTTTTGTAAAGGGATAGTTCATCCACAACTGAAAACTCTGTCAACATTTACTCACACTAGTCACAAACCTGTTTGTTTCCTTTTTCTGTTGAACACAAAAGAAGCTATTTGAAAGAGAGCTGGGGACTGGTAACTATTGACTTCAATAGTATTTGTTTCTCCTACTATGGAAGTCAATTGTTACAAGTTTCCAGCTTTCTTCAAAATAGCTTACACAAATACATCAATATTTTTTATTATTTATTTATTTATTTATTTATTTATTTATTTATTTATTTATTTATTTATTTATTTATTTATATTCAATCCTTGATGAAATAGACGCATAAATAGCATTAGTTTGAAATAAAATTATTTAGCAAAAAAAAGAAAATAAAAAAATCTTTTTGATCAATTTAATATGTCATTCTGTCTAAAATATATCTTTGTGGATATCATATTAACATGTTTAAGACTTTAACATGCTATAAATTAATAAATACGTTTATGCACAAATGAACAGTTTTCTTCCCACTCTCATCAATTTGCATATTTTTTAATTTAAATATAGATGGGGAAATCTTACAGTCAAAGCTCTAGAGATTTGTTACAGCAATAGCCGGGGGAGTCACTATGTTAAGTGTTTTGCTTGAACGCCCTACAGCAGTGATCACAGCAGTGTGAGGGATTTTGACATAAACAACCTCCTGACACTTAGTCAAAATCCTTCACTTCACCATTAGGATTCAAACCAATAACCTTCTAAAAACTTAATCACATTAAATCTTATCTTTTAATCGTAATGTGTTCAGATCAGTTTGCAAAGATTACTGCTAAACAGAATGCAATGCAAGGATGAGCCACTTTAGTTATTTTCCAGGCCATTTAGCACGACAGCAAACGTGCCTCTCCAGCAAAAGCTTTGTTCCAAAATGACTTTTTATCAGTGAACAACAAACAATACTACAACTAAGAGCACACAAACACATAAATTCTATTCTAAATCAGGGCTTCTGCGCACTTCTATAAAACTATTTTGCTTTTAAGCCTTGTGTACTGTTCAACTTGACTACCCTTTTGTTATGATCATGGTGGTTTTTGTCCTATTGACTTCCATTATAATGACATTTTTTTTAATTGTAAAGCCACAACACCAAACAATCATATATTCTTAATTGTTGGTGCTTTTCTCTGTTGGGAAGAGGTTAGCAGTGTCAAAGTTAATTGTTTCTTCAGTGTACCCCGATGCAGACACGGACATTTTAGAATTGATTTATAAATAGATCCTAACCGGTTATTGCATAATGACGTCATTTATCTCATATGTCGCGATAGATTACTATGGCAAGGGATGCGAATGCAAGTAATTATAACTCAAAAACTCTGCATAAATTCATTGTGTGTTTGTGTGCCTTTTACTGTTCAACTTCCATGTGCAAGCAAGTGCATAATAAAATATAAACTATGCATCTAGTTTAACTGATACCTACAGTACAAAAGCCTATTTTACAAGAAACATGTTTTGTGACCACTTACTCTGTCTTTGGTGCTCTAGATTTGCCAGTTTCAAACTGCTGTATAAATATTTTTTGACGCAAACATGCATTCAAAATGGTATTAACTATTACAGGGGTGGTCAAATGTACAGCTGCAATCATAATTATTTAACTCCCTGAATTTTTAGCACTCTGTTTATTTTTTTCTCCAATTTCTTTTTAACAGAGAGAAAGACATCTTCAACACATTTCTAAACATAATAGTTTAAATAACTAATTTCTAATAACTGATTAATTTTATCTTTACCTTGATGAGAGTAAATAATATTTGACTAGATATTTTTCAAGACACTTCTATAGCTTAAAGTGACATTTAAAGGCTTAACTAGGCAGAATAGGTTAATTAGGCAAGTTATTGCATAACAGCAGTTTGTTCTGTAGACTATCAGAAAAAAAATACTTAAAGGGGCTAATAATTTTGACATTATTATTATTTTTTTATTATTAAAAACTAAATTCCAGCCGAAATAAAAGAAATAGGATTTTCTCCAGAAGGAAAAGTATGATCAAACATACTGTGAAAATGCCCTTGCTATATATATTAAAAATAGTTTAATATTAAACAAGGTTTAATAATTCTGATTACAACTGTATATTAAATATTTATATTTTCTTTAAATTATTAATATTATTTAAGATACAGATACAAACTACCCCCCCCCCCCTCCTTCAGGTAGGATCAAGGGTTAATTAGTGGGGCCTGACACCCCCCCCCCCCACACACACTCAACACCCCCATCCAAACAGACCTGTAATTCGCACCCTGACTATACTCCATATAACCATATAATTTTAAGCCTAAAACAAAGCTTTTTTGCACTGCAACTGATGATCAACAATAAAAAGTGTTACCTCTTTCCAACAGGGAAAAGCAACAACAATCAAGAATGCATAATTACATGGTGTTATGGCTTTGCAATCAAAAAATATCATTATAATGGAAGTCAATGGGGCAAAGAAACCACAAACATAATGAAAGGGTAGTACATTTGAGTGTATTGTTAAAACAATTTTGAAGCATTTTCCAAAAATATGTGTCAAAATAAGATTTGTCACCAAAAATTATTCCATTTGCTAAAACAGAGAAAGTCATGACCAAGTTAAGGCTTAAAATCACCCGAGTGGATAAAAACATCTCAAACAGCACAAATACGGGTTTAAGGGACAAATCACCCTAAAGAAAATATAATCTACTCATCATTCACTCACCCCCAAATGGTTTTAAATCCTTATGGTTTTATTATTATCAGTTGAATACTCATACAAAAAATTATTTAACAACAACAACAACAACAACAACAACAACAACAACAACAACAACAACAACAACAATAATAATAATAATAATCTAAAAATAAATTAATAAAAATAAATTAATTTATTACAAGCCATGACACATTATTGCAATTTATTCCTTTGTGCACACATCCTTCATTAACATTGAATACATTTATATGGACATCAGAAATCAAATTAATTGCCTTAATCTAATTAAGATAATAATAAGATTAAGGTGTTTACATAAGTTGCTATTAGAATGTTTCTTTTTATGTTCCCGTTTTATGTTATAGCGCATAATTCGATTAATGTCATTGCGTCACCATGCTATCCGCATTTGATCTGGAGATTCATGTAATTTCGGGTGTTTCATTTTCAATTTGTCTCATTCATTTTCATTCGGGAACATTTCCTGCTTGCCCCCCGTGACAAACCAGATATTGGATGGAACTATGAATTGCTAAAATAGTTTTAATGTTTTAAGTTCATACCGTATGCTGAATGGAAGAAAAAAACCCTAATGACCTTAATCTGATTAAATTATTCAAAAGTCATTGTTTATATGGTAGACTCTTAATCAGAGTATTGTCTTAATCACATTAAAATCGAATTATTGGTGTCCATGTAAACATACTCATTGATAGTCAAAAACCCCAATTAGGCAAGATGTACGATGTCCTAAAATAAGTGATACTTTTGACCATTTAACACAACAGTTTACAATCACCATTGCATCTTCTGGTATATCACCAAGCTGCATTTACCATGAGACCTACCTGATGTATGAAGACCTGTGCAGTGCGAGGGCTGAGCAGCAAAATGGCCCGTCTCAGTGTGTCCCGGTAGCGGTTCAGCTCCTCCATTCTCATTGTGCTGAAGAGCGTGGAAAAAACCTTAGTCACATTTCGGTCAACCTGCTGCAGAGACACGTCCAAACCCATTCGAGAAGCCTGGTCCAAAAACCCTCTGAGTCCCCGCACATCTAAAACAGAAAACAGCAAAGACAGCAGTTAAAAACGGAGAGCTAAAGCTGCGTTTAAGATGAAGGCTGAGATGAAAATAGATCAAGTATAGGCTGAATATTTGACTGGAGATCAGACGTTTCCTGTGAGATTTCCTTCAGACCTAATTGTAGATTTGAGTCGGAGATGATGTTTGAAAGGGAAAGTGAGATCTGTAAAAATATCTAATTTTGTTCCACAGGATGGAGGAAGATCATGTGTGTTTGGAACATCTTGAGAGTGAGTAAATGATGACAGATATATTGGATTTTTTCATGAAAAGGAAGCCTCTATTTTTTGTGCTCTGGAGATTTGATGAGTCGTGGAGAAAGAATTCGGGTTTTTCTTGCACTTTGCACATCACAGCAGTCAAGTCACGTCGTGTTCAGTCGACTGAAGTGGCTTTTTGATGGCTTAATCGTCTGGCATGGATCATCTTATCCATCTACTCACAAAAAGGACACAAGAACTGTCCTTTAAGAGGGTCAAAACAAACATGAGAATGAAGCTGAAGGGGAGACTAATCATAAAAGTATGTGCAAACTCCTGACTTGACTGTACATTTATGGTCTTCACTTTTGAGTTGCAATTAAATTTTTATAGCATGACACTGAAAAGCTATAGCTTGTCTGCATCTTTTACATGTTCCCTTTTTTCTTTTTTCGCTGCGTAAAAGAAAATAATAAAAACAAAGCAGGAGAAACTGAAAACTTTCAAAAACCTGTCAATGTAAGAAAGCAAAACAGTTTGATAAAAAGCATTAAGAGGAGCAGAAAATGATTATCATCTGCAGATTTCTGAGTGCTGACAGCAGCTTTGTTTTCCTGCAAATAAATCTGAATCTGTCTTTTAGCATCAGCTTAAGCATACCAAAGTTGTCAACCAGCTTTGCTTCAAGATTTTATAATGAACATCTACTGCAGAGGTAAAAAAAAACATAGAACTAATATATTATGAATAACGAAGACAATCATCTTTAAAATTAAATGTTATATTAGTATTTATGTTGATGTGCTATTTACTATAGCATTATTTAGTAAATTAATAATATTGTATTTATATTGATATTAATATTGATATTTACCACTTTACAAACACTGACTGCAAAAATGACTGACCAGCAAGGTAATTTTTAGTCCAGTTCACTTTAAAATGCTTATTTTTTCTGGATTCAAATGTCTTTTCTGGATTTGACATGATTTAAAATGGTGATGTTTGTCTTATTCAACAAGGGTCCAGCAAAGATTCTTCCAAGATTTTACATAAAATACGACAATTTTAGACATTTCCCCCAGAAAATAACGAGTGTTTCTATATAGGGTTATTCCCCGAGATATTCATTCATTCATTTTTCTTCGGCTTACTATTTCTCAGGGATCTTCACAGTGAAATGAACCGCCAACTATTCCAATATTTGTTTTACACAGTGGATGCCCTTCCTGCCGCAACCCAGTACTGGGAATCCCCCAGATATTGATTACCTAAGTCTTTTGGGGCCTCATCATACAACCGGCTAAATAAGGCGCAAGACATGTTTGGTGCAATTTGTTGCTATTTCAGATCCGCACAACCCTAATTTTCCCGTTAGACATTCCCCTAATGCTTTTGTGCCATGCGCTGCAGACTTTGCACCTAGATTGTTAAAATAGATTCTTAAAATTGAAGTTTATATATTGGATTTGCATTGTCTAAAAATTAGCATAAACATGCCTCACAACATGGCACCTTTTTGTTATTTTATTTTTGTTATTTATAAGTAAATGATGCTCTAAGTCACCCTTTTTTAATTTGGAAGAAATCTCATTATGTAGCTCTCACAGAATAAAACAGAAAAAAAAACATTTTACCCTTTAACGTCATAAGACGTAAATCCAGAAAGAATAGTCTTGCTGAAAGAATGGGTGTTTGACATCAGCAACAACAAAATGTATTAATTATTAATTGCATTTTTCCTACTGTCCAACAGACCTTCAGGCCATTTTTCATTAGCAAATATACCAGTTAAGACCCAAGCACAATTTCATACAATGTACACATTTATATTTTATCTCACTTTCTGTTTTTCTAATTTAATTAACTGTCATAATTTCCTGTTGCATTTATCGGGAGCTATCTGATCTTTAGGATCTTCTTTTTGGTTTGTTAGTTTATTTGTTAATGACAGTTATCAAACATATGATCTCATTTTAATTAACTTACAAATTGCCTGTATTTTTGTCCATGGCTATCAGCATTGGGTGTATTGATTGCTTCAGGCATACATTTCTTCAGCCAATCACACAGTCCCGTTTTAAAGGTCACGGTGCAATTGAGAAAAACTAATAACACTGTAAAAAATGATAAATGTTTTTCTGTTACTTTAAATTATTTTAATAAGTTAATCAAGTTTCAACTGCATGTTTTAAGTTATATAAAGTTTAACTTAATACATTTAGTCAGTTTGATTGATGTATGTTCAGATGACCAGAAAATTATTCTGATAAAAAAGTTTAACTACTTGTTTAAAATGAGCTGAAACAACACAATTCTTGAGATTTCGATGGAACAACTTAATTGTTTAATGTTCAATCCACTTAAATTTGTAAAAGTTAACTTAATCTCTTCAAGTTGTCCCAACAGAAATAGATTGTGTGGAACCTAGCATTTTATACAGTGAAAACAAATGAAGGCAGCAACAATTTTTCACAGTGCAGACATCAAGAGAGAACAAACACCATATTGTTTTACATGTACATATGAGTATGCACTTAATATACTTGATCATCATAATCCACCATCTGCACACTGCATCAAGCTACAAACTGTTTCCATGACAATTGACCAAAAAAACAGATTATTTTTTTTCCCCCCACACAGGCCTCAGTTTACTCTCAAACCAATAAAACATATAATCATTGAAGCCCTTGCACACAAGTTGGTCTCAATACACTAATGAAAACCCTTTCAGCATAATTGCCAATAATCTTAGTAAGGTGGTTCTTTTATTTTTACATTTGAAATGTTATTATTCTTGCAGGTCATACTGATGCATTTTTAAATGAGAAAAATACAACATATCCAGCATACAAAATATCTATTAATTCCCTGTAATTGTTGATTCTTGTGGGTTTTCCATTTATTTACACTTCTGAATTGCATTATAACACCTTAATAACTGCTCAAACAATGAAAATTTATCTCTACAGTTGAACAAGGTGATTTTTAAAAATATTTTTATTCATTTGAAACATTATATTGAATCAAAAATAATATACAAAGAAATAATTATGTAAAACAACAGGAAAAACAGCATTGGCAGTTCATTAGCAGCATATTTCAAATAGAATTTAAGTTTAATTGCTCACACAGTGTCTTTAATAGCAACCAATTCTCATGAAGTGATGCATTTTAAACTTCTATTATTAGAACTACGATAAACGAACACCATATTTTCTTCAATGATGCAAGAATATGCAACATTTAGAAACTTAATCAGCTATTGGATGACCTAATGAATATATTTTCAATCAACACAGAGTCTAAGGAAGCAAGTGTTTGTGCTATAAAAGTAAAATGAAAATAAAAAAACTCTAACTCTGATCGGAAAGAAAACGTTAACATAAATGGCATGGACTTCTTGAGCAGTGGCATGATAACAGGTCAATTTAACTTTCAGATGATTGATTAGCACTAGTATTAGCAACATTAGCTATGCTCCGGTGTACATTCAGTGAGCATCAGGTATTCACTATAATGATGCGGTATAGCACACAATCATTTCCAGCAGCTCTTATTTCTGTAGAAGAGCCAGAAATATATTTGACAATATATTTGACAGTTTAAAAGCAAGACTAAGGCCTGATCTCCATATTAACAGAAAGCAATGAAGAATGTGCTGTAATGCCAGATTTAGCCTTGATGCTATTAATTTAAATTCAGGTAACGTTACATTATAGATCACTTCACACTGCTTTAAGCTATATTTGCTACCTTAATATACAGAAAAAACTGAATTTAAACTTTTGTGCTTTTATATACTCTGGTCAATGGTCAATTAAGTTCATTTACATCAATGATAAAAAAATAAAATCAACATTTGCTAGAAAACATTATTTGATGAAATAAAAGCAAAGGCATAAAACAAAATAACAGTTTGATTAAAAAAAAAAAAAAAAAAAAAAACATCTCTCCATTAAACAGCATTTTGGCAGTTTTTATGGGTCTGATTCTTACGTTTTTTAAAGGAACAGTTGCCCAAAAAATTCAAATGACTTTGTTTTTTGTGATTTTCTTTCTTCTTTTGAACACAAGGGAAGATTTGCTTTAAGGAATACGGGTTAATGGTACCAATTCACTAACACAGTAGGGGGGAAAATACTATTTAAATCAATGGGCACCAACTACCATAATTTTTTAAATAACATATTTTCTTTTTGTTTAACAGAAGAAAAAAAATCAAATAGGTTTCAAACAAGTGAAGGATGTTAGTGATAGTTAGGCGAACTATTCCTTTAACTAAACTATATTTCAACAATTGCCTTACTGGATTGAGATCTGGTGACTGTTGAGGCCATTTGAGTAAAGTAAACTCATTATCATGTTCAAGAAACCAGTCTGAGATGATTTGCACTGTATGACTTGGTGCCTTATCCTGCTGGAAGTAGCCATCAGAAGATGGATGCACTGTGGTCATGAAAGGATGGACATGGTCAGCAACAAAAATCAGCTAGGCTGTGGCACTGACACAATACTCAATTGATATTAGTGGGCCCAAAGTGTGCCAAGAAAATATCTCCAACACCATTACACCACCACCACCAGCCTGAACGGTTGAAGGATGAATCCATGATTTCATGTTTCATGTTGTTGATGCCTAATTCTGACCCTACCATTCCTATGTTACAGCAGAAATCAAGACTCATCAGACCAAGTAACGTTTTTCCAATCTTCTATTTTCCAATTTTGGTGAACCTATACGAATTGCAGCTTCAGTTTTCTGTTA